AGGGGTTTTCCAACTTGTCATCACGAAAAATCAGTTCCTGGTGATGGGATGGAACATCCTGCAAAAGTTCCTGAGAGTTACTGGACCATTTCCGCAATTGGAACCCGCCTGATTCTAAAAGGCTAATAAGTTCAGTTTTAACCTTTTTTGTTTTCTCTAGGGAGTCCCCTCCAGTGAGAATATCATCTACGAACGTGGAGTTCAGGACGACATCACTTGCCAATGGGTATTGTTCAGAACGTTCAGAGGCAAGCTGACGTAGCGTGCGTAGCGCTAAAAAAGGACTACTACAGACTCCATAACTTACAGTGTTGAGAAGATAGGTCGAGATTTCGTTTTCAGGATTATCTCGCCATAAGATTGCTTGATAGGTTCTGTGCTCTGGATTTACAAGGATCTGACGATACATTTTTTCAATGTCTGTAGTGAAGACATAAGAATGAAGACGGAATAAAGACAAGATTTTACAAATATCAGTTTGTAGCTTAGGGCCTATTAGTAATTCATCATTTAGTGACTTGCCCGATGTAGTCGGAGCTGATGCGTTAAATACAACACGCAACTTAGAGGCAGATGCATTTTTCTTGAAGATGCCATGGTGCGGGATGTAGTAGGCCTCTTTCATAGGATTTGTAACTTTAGTCATATGGCCTAGAGTTTCATACTCTGTTATAAATGCAGAATAGGCTGACTGAAATTCAGGGTTTCGCTTGAATTTCCCTTCTAAGGACAACAAGCAGTTTTTTGCTCGGTTATAAGAGTTGCCAAGGTCTGGTGAATCATTTTTGAATGGCAGATTGACAATGAAACGACCAGATGAGTCTCGTTCAGTTGTTGAAGTAAATATCGATTCACATTGATCATCCTCAGGACTAACCAGACACTTAGTCATTGGGGGTTCTTCTACTTCCCAGAACCTTTTTAAATTGAATTCCAGTGATTCATGATCTAAGAGTGCTAAGTTAGCAGAGACAGTTTGAAACTGGGAAACTGGGACAGAAGTTTCTCCAATAAGTAACCATCCGAAAATGGTATGGAATGCTGTTGGGATTCCGTGAGGAGAATCAAGCCGCCCACCATCAAAGAGTTGTGGGAATAGATCTGCACCTATAAGGAAGTCAATCTTGCTTGGTAGATAAAATTCAGGATCAGCCAAGTCCCAGCCCTGGTAAAACAATCTTACTTTCTCATGAAGTGTGGTTGAAGGAAGTTGAGAAGTAATACGATTTAATACTATAGCATTAGCTTCAAGAATGGGGGTGTCTTGGTGTGAAGGCTTCAGAACACATAAAACTATGCCTTTGTTACTCAATACTGAAGTTTCAGATAGGCCTAAAATAGGTTGAATGTGCCGGCGTCGCGGCAGTCCAAGTCGCTGTGCACATGCCTCAGTGATGAATGAACTTTGGCTTCCTGCGTCAACAAGAGCTCTGGCCGATTGAAAATTGCCTGTGGAATCCTGAAGGCGAATAACTGCAGTGCCTAAAAGAACTGTTGTAGAATCAAAGCAATCCTTTTTGGAATTAGAAGCGATATTAGGCCTAGTACATGTTAGCGCGGAAGTAGGCTGTGGCAGAGATGACATTTCCTTAATATCTTCATTACGATCAGATGATGGAGTGTTGTCAGGCTTTGCAGCTGAAGGATTGTTTTCACCTGGATTAACATGAAGTGTAGTGTGGTGATGCCGTTTACACTTAAAGCATGTACGATTGGATCTGCATTTACTTAACATATGAGAATCAGTAAGACAGTTAAAGCAAGCTTCTTTAGATTTAATAAACTCCCATCGTTTGGTCGGAGACAACTGCAAATAAGATGGACAAGAATATACTTTGTGTTCTTTATTACAATATAGGCAGCTTGGTGGAAGCTTGTCTTGATTGTTCGTACTGACATGAAACGATCGTTTGCTTGAAACAACAGTAGTTGGTGATTTGACAGTGTACGGTTTTGAAGTTGATTTGGGTAGGCCAAACTTGGAATTAGAGCGGGAATCCCCAGCGGCTTCCAAGGATTTGCAATGATCTTTCAGAAAATCAATAAAATCAGTGAATGAAGGGTACTCTTTGTTGGAATGTTTTCGTTCAAACAGTTGTCTTGTATGTTTGTCGAGGCTCTTTAAAGCAATGTGCAATATGATAAACTCTCCCATATTCCCAGGTATTTGCATGTTTTTTAAGGCTAAAGTATTTTCATTGAGTGTGTCAAGTAAGTTGCGCAAAGGTTTCAGAGACTCAACATGAATTGGGCTTATGCTTAGAATTTCCTCGATGTAATGTGAGGCTAGTAACCTTTTGTTGTCATACCTTTCATTAAGCTGACCCCAAACTAGAGCATAGTTGGTTGAACACAACGGCAAACTTTTCACCAACGTATTAGGCTCTCCTTTGGTACTATTTAGAAGAAAGTGGAATTTTTCTATGTCTGATAGACTACTGTTGTTATGGACTAGAGCTAGATATATGTCTTTAAAATGTGGCCATTCTTTTAAAGTGCCATCGAAGCTAGGCAGGTTAATTTTTGGGAGCTTAGCTGTTGCAGAACCAAGAGGTTTGGCTTCATTTGCTGGATTTTCATTGGTTGCTGAGGTGGAAAACAATTTTTCTTTCACCGATAAAATGTAGAAATATTTATGATCTGTGGCCTTATTAAGTTCCATCAAGGTTGGCAACTCACTAGTTTCTTTCAGTTGGACATAAGATTTAGCTATGTCAGTTTGGTAACGTTCGAAGCTGTCATGATGAGCCTGTAGCCTTTCACAGCGAACTTTAAATTCTGACACGTCATCTGGTTCTGCATTGATTGTAAGAGCATTAGCTTTAGAATAAAGGTATTCAATCTTTTGGACAATATTGTCCCTTTTATATTTAAGCACTTCGATATCCTTCTTTACTTTGGCATCAGCCATGGTTATAGTGAACCTAGGCTAAGTGTGTAGGTACAAAATATATCAATGAAATATATAATTATTCCAATAAAATCAATAATATTTCCACAATGACAGTTTCGGCTATATATTGTTTAGCCAAAGAGCAAATTGATTGTAATAGGCTAAGTAATTGAGTTTAGGCCTATTAGGTGAACAGGCCTAGACCTTATTTTTGTTTGATCACTTGTTGGAATAGATAGGCCTAATAAGTCACAAATAGCAATAAATCAATGGTGTTCACTTATTTTTAAGTGAAAAGCTTCATTTGTAATTATTTTATTCACAAGAGGAATGAAAAAGGCATAAAAACCTGGTGCAGGGATAAAAAGATAGTTTTTATCCCAGAATGAGGGATTTATCCCGGAACGAGGGATTTATCCCGGAACGAGGGATTTATCCCGGAACGAGGGATTTATCCCGCCGTAGGGAAATGTTGATGATTCCTATCCCATAAATGAGGGATTTATCCCTCCAGCCTGTAGCAGGGAAATGTTTGCTTGAAAAATCGGTTTGATTTGATAAATACAAATTAACACTTCTTTAAATCTTGATAAAAATCCATAAAATGCTTTAAAAAGTTGATTGAACTTGATCTTGATGTTAAATAAATGTTCAGAAGCTTTATTTGCAATAATAACCTAGAACACTAGCCAGACTTAACATGAAAGGATAGGAACATGTTGAAAGAATAGGAGCAAGTTGAAAATTGATTATTATTAGAAAAATATGATAGGATTTTTGAAAATTAATTGATCAGGTTCGAAGGACCAATGAAAGCAGTGGATGTAAACTAGGAAATAGAAATTGTAAGGTGGAAAAATAGGAAAATGAGTAAAATTAAGATACCTCACATGTTTGGGTTGACTTCTCTGTAGATGGCCATCTTGCTGCTGATTTTTCCTTCACTACTTCTTCTTCTTGTAGTAGGGATAGGCGGGAAATTTAAATGTTTAAATGAAACCTGAATGAGGGTGGTTATGGTTGGTGATGTTGCAACAGGAATGAAAAAAGGATAAATTAAAATGTCTCTGGGATTTCAGAAATTAAATTAAATTAAATTAAGTCTGGCTCTAACAACAATTTTGTTGACACTAGCGATCAGTGTCACCGGACATGAACTAGACACGAAAAACGAGCTTCAAAGTTTACAATGGGATATAAAGTTTACTTGTGTTGGTTAGTCTATGGTAAGACTATAATGCATTTTCCACCCTAATAATCATAAGAACAATGTTAAACATACTTATAAATATATTGATTTTATCGTCTACGTTGCTCTTACTCCTAATTAATCGTAGGATACGACATTATGGTACCGATACGATATAGGTACTACACTTTCGGCAACACTGGCCAAAAATATTCGTGCTTGGCTCCCATTGGACGGCCCGCGAGGCTTCTGATTGGGAGTTAGCGAGTTCCGCCGAGGGACCGAGTTAGCGACTTCCGTACGAGGACGGAATTCGCTAACCCGGCTCTAGAGCGGGTTAGCGGTTTCCGGAGTTAGCCAATTCCGAAACCGAACAAGTTAGCGAGTTCCTCTCATCGACCAAATTTGAAGATAGGGCGTTTAACATGGGGTTAGCGAGTTCCAGAGTTAGCCAATTCCGCGGACCCGAGAGAAACATCGTGATGACAGTCACTGCTGACATAAAAATAATTTTTTGTATGACCCACTTTTACATCCTGTTTACATTACTGTTTTACACGTTACTTCAGGCTTGCCCCAGAGGGTCACAGCATTATCACATAGATAAAAATCCATTTGTGATTTGTGGAATTTTAATCCGGAACCTTGGGCTACAAAGGCCCGCACTCTACCACTAGATCAGCTCGCTGCCCATTTTTTTCACATTACTGGCAATAATTATCGTCAACCGGATCCATGTTCATTACTGTACTATAAAGTTTAAAGTAACATTTACACTTAAAAGTAAAAGACTAACCTACAAATAGGGTAATTAGGTTTTGATTGAAAAGCTGGCTTTCCTTTTTACAGGATTAGCATCACTAGGTTCACAGATACATGTAACCTAATAGTAACACTCAAAGTGTGTATTATTTTCAGATTGAGTGGATGAGTGACAAGTTGATGAGGAGTTTTGAAGGTGCTCGAAACAACCCATTCCAGTTCAAACATGTTCAGATGTGTCACAGCATGTCTGAGCTCAGCAGGGTCCCCAGTCCCAAGGTAAGTAGATGCTTTATTTGTTTTTGCTTATACATTTTTTTTTAATGCAGAGGTCTGCCAGCTTATATTTTGAGCCAAGCCGAGCACAGCCTAAGGCTGTGGTTTCCTAGACGCGTAATAGATGCGCTGCGTGTGCGCATCTAAGACGCAGCACACTTGTCTTATGGAGTTTCGTGTAAGCGGTTTCCAAGGCTGCGTATCTAATGCGCACGCATCTAATACGCGCGCACCAATAGCTGCGTATTTGGTCGACTGCTTTCAGAGCAGTCAAATCTGAGTTACGCTGCGTTTTAGACGTGTCTTGTGCAATGAATTCGGAAGTAAATGTAAACAACGACGGAAAATTGATTGAATTTGTCTCTTCTAATGACATATTATGGAAGTACTTTGTTCATACAATTAAAATGTTATAGTATTATATTTCATATCATTCGTTATGTAGTGTTAATTTCCCCATAATGTGTAATTTTAATATTAAATTCCTTTGTTACATGTTCCCTACAATTAATTAATTTATCCTCACGTATTTTCTTATTGTTGTTATTAGTAAATAAACCTAATGTTGACAAATATTCTTTTCAAGTCAGCACAACACCAACTCCCAAATATAAGAGCCCCCATAATTATTTTAGGAACTCCTGAACATCTTAGTAATAAGCCTATACTGTATTAATTACTAGCATTGTACCCAAACTTCTTACGGGGTTGGCGTATAAGTATAAAATGCGTATTGCCGTTATAAAAAAAGGTATAAAGGTATTTTCATCGATTCGGTAAATCCCGAATAGGTAAATATAATAACAGTAAAAGCAAAGTTGGACAGCGTAAATTAAGATTTATTGTTTACATTTTAAATTGACATGTTTGCTTTTTTAACAGTACAGTTAAAAGATCCACGAGGGCCACGCACAGTTCCTAATCATGTACTTTTTACTGCTTACGCTTCTTCAAAGCTTTTAATACCAAAATATCCATTTCATTATCTAAATCATCGTATAACATCATAGTAGCCACTAGTTACCTCTCCCGTGAAGTTATGTTACGCAACAACCGTGTGTATTGTACGCAGTCTAGGAAACCACTCACGGCAGCTGCGTTTTGGGACCTGGATAAAAGACGCAGCGCATCTAAACCGCTGCGCATCTATTACGCGTCTAGGAAACCACAGCCTAAATGTTGAAGTGATTCAGCTCCATGTCAGAGAATTGGGCCGCATAAACCTTTTTTTCTCACAATATGATTGCAGAAAGCCTCTTCAAAGTTTGCTCCATACAAAATTTACAATTTTTGCTTGTTGGGTTTGTTTGTTGAGGTTTTTGCTGAAGCTATCTCGACACCTAGAAGCATCGGTCCACCCAATAAGGCCAAGGTTTTTGGAGAATCAGAATATAATAAATTCTCTGTTTTTGGGATTCTGGAGATGGTCAAGATAGGGCCGTGATCATGGGTTATAATTATTAAGGATGTGTCAATTCTCTATACCACCATATTCTTGGGCATTGGTATCAGTATCAAGGATCAATTATCATAAGTCACTGCTGATACTGATACCCAACACAAAGATCACACGATCAAAAAGTTACCAGTTTTGCCACGATCACGCTTGATGATATGACATGTCAACAAGAGACATTGACTATGTCTACACGACCGTGTGAAAAGACAGAATTTAGCCACGATTGCAAGAGACAATGATCATGTCTACATGACCGGGGAAGACAATAATGATGTCTAAAGTAGGGCCTACCGCAAGAAATGATCAGAATATTTCTGTGATCGCGGGAGACGTTGATGATGTCTAAATAGCCGCAGAAGACGATAATGATAACTACACGGCTGCAGTGATGATCGGAACTTTGCTTTGATCACAGAAGACAATGATAATGTCTACACGACAGCGGGATATGGTTATGATTTTGCATGCGAAGACGAGGATGATGTTGTGTGACCGTGGGAGTGGAATATTTTTACAAATACCGTGTTGATTTTTGTTGTTGTTATTATTGCAATTTGCAAGAATAACACTCATTATTTTTAAAACAAACCTTTCTTGCACATAACAAATCTTGTCAAAAAATCAGGAAGATAAGAAAAGTCTCATCCTTTCCCAAACTAAAGATCATTCCCGTCCATCCCTATTTATTGTATTACCAGTTTGACTTTGTGCAGGTGGTGCTAGCAAGTTCTCCAGACATGGAATGTGGATTTTCAAGAGAACTCTTCCTACAGTGGTGCACAAAACCTAATAACAGTATTATAATCACCAATAGGTAAACTTAATTTGTTAAAACCGCTTATTTTTAGGGATGGACGAGATTGGATTTTTAGTTCGAGACGAGACGAGACGAGATTTTTTATTTCTCATAAAATTTCGAGACGAGATCGAGACGGGATTTCCCTTCTCATACACAACGGGAAATGCACGTTCAAAATTTTTACCTGATTTTGTAACATTGTTAGATGACTGTTTAAATACAAAAATAATGATAAAAGGCAAGATACAATCTTTTATTAAAAAACATCAGCATAACATTTTTTTATTAATCACGCCTAACTTATTAAAAATGCCTACGATTAGGAAACATAGTATCAGTTAGGATAGAGTTCAACTTATCCTAAAATAAAATAAAAGCAATATTAATTTTTATAAAATAGTTACTTGTTTTGACTTTTTATAGTAATAAAACATTCCTCACACTGCTTACACTTAACAAAACTTCTCAAATGTTATTAAAGTAATATTATTAAAATAATTAAAGTAATATTTACATTTAAAGAATTAATTAAATAAGAACGCCTTCGCAAAGGAAACGCAACTACAACACGCTCCTGTATTGCGGGTATTGCATTGACTTTCTGCAGGCGTTTTTAATTTTTTTTTTTATTTTTTTTTATTCTTGTCTCGATAAAAATCTCGGCCAAAAAGAAATCTCGTCTCGTGTAACGAGATTTAAAATTTCCCGAAATTTCGAGACTTGACCATCCCTACTTATTTTAATAGTTTAATGTCATGCTGTAACCTAATCAGGATCAGACCCGCTCTCTTACAAAAGAAACAACAAATGCCACCTGGCAATAATTGTTGTCATATGCTCACAACAAATTTTTTAAATCCAGTAGACTCCCTCTTACCCGGACTCCTTGGGACCGAGGCCAGTCTGGATAGTGGGTTTTCCGGTTAAACCGACGTCCCCAAAAAACTTGTAAAAACAGACCGTTTAAATGTGTATTTGACTTAAATTTATGAGAGCATTGTATTTAGACACGTGATCACTAATCTCAAATCTTTCGAATTGTGGATATTTATAGGGATGCACTGTGGATGCGATGCTCCCTGGTGTGGATTAACGTCCGCACTAGTGAGTACTACGACTATCCGCAGTACTATCCTGATAATTAGACCAATTCGTAAATTACAAGGAAAAATGTGGTTCGGATTCCACTATAAACTGTAGGTCCCTTAGTTGCCATTAGCTGTATGGGCGATTAATTAACAGCTGTGTCTATGGAACATGTCGGCCTTAGTAGCTAACAAGACTACAAGATTGCGCCACTCATCCTACACTCATATTTGGGTTAAAATATGCACATAGTGGCGTCCCCATCTTAAATATATGATATGATATGATATTTCCCACGAGAACGGTTGTTTCAGTACCACCCACTTCCTGCCGATCTAGTCCGGTTAAGCTGATGTGCTGATACAAATTGTCCAGTTAAAGAGATGTAATTTCCGCTGAGTGTAGTCCAGTTAAACCGATGTCTGGTTAAAAGGTATCCGGATAAGAGGGAGTCTACTGTAATGTTTATTGATTGAAGTGTTTTTAAAATAAGTTAGAAAACAAGTTATAAAATACATTTGTATTAATTGCAACTATAATTGATTCATTATTATTAATAATGGATTAAACATGAATAATGTGAATATTTATTTATTCAATTATTTACTAGCATGCCAATGATCAGGGATCATAGTTTAGGCAAGGGTGCATATTTTAAGGCCAAAGTAAGTGAAAAATTTGTGTTGAATGAATAAGATGATTGTCTTGTCTCTAAGATCAGATGGTTCATAGGCAGGACCAATTATTAAAAGCTAAATCATCAGTTTTCAAACCATAAAAAGACACTGAATTTTTTATGATCAAAACTGCACTTTTTTCTTTATTAACTAAAAATTTACCCTCAGTAAGTAAGCACAGGTGCCCAGCTAATTAACTTATTATTGTGATAGAAAACTAACCATTTAAGCTGGATTTCCGATCTAATACAGTGAATCATGCTTATTATTATATTTTAAAAATGCTTATTATTATAATTTTTAACTGTAGTATGAGGCCCGGGTTTTTTATTACATTTTGGTTTACTTGTTGTAAATCATAAAATTTTATGCCTTTTACTAATCTCAAACTTTGCACCGATTTTTAGAACATCGCCAGGTACTTTAGCAAGAGAATTAATTGATTTAGGAGGCAACAGGACTATTACACTTCAAGTTAAAAAAAGAGTTCGATTAGAAGGAGCAGAGCTAGAAGAATTTCTACAAAAAGAACGAGAAAAAGAAAAGGAAAAAGAGAAAAGGTAATGGTTTTAATGTGAGATAAATTAATTTGAAGAAGTTAAGGCTTATTAAAAGACATTATGGATGATCATATTTTTTAATTGTTACTTAGGCCCATTTTATTTTAAAATTTAAGTCAATAGGCCTAAAGGATATTTTTACTTAAATAACTTGAAAATATACAGCATTAAAAAATAGTTTTAAGATGAAATGTGTAAAAAATAGGTGACTTTCTGTTGCTTGCTGTGATAATCTTTGAACCTTTATCCTCTAAATTGCCATGTATAAAATTTAATCAAAGAAGTGAGAAACATACAGTAGGCGAAATACTGATAATAGTTTTAAATTTTTGGTGATATCATGTTAAATAATCTGTATATTTTTTAAAAATGTTTTTAAGCAATCGTGAAAAAATAAAAAAAAATCAGGGAAATGAGTATACATTCAGTAGTGTTGGGGCATGTTGCTTGGTCATGCTGAGCTTGTGTTAGGCTAAGTCAAATGTTTTTTGTGTAAATACAGATAAAAACATGGGTTTTTGTTGTTTCGTTGCTAGTGAGTACGATGTGTACCTAAGTTCAGACTCGGAAGATGAACAAGAATTGGCAGCCATTAAAGGGAAACACGATCTGCTTGTGGTTAAGAGTGAGATCAAATCTCAAGCAGGAGCAGGCGGAGTTGGTGTTGGAGGAGCAGGGTTCTTCAAAAGTAGCAAAAAACAACATCCCATGTTTCCATTTTATGAAGAAAAAGTCAAATTTGATGAATATGGAGAAATAATAAGGTGAGTTTGTATTTTCTGTACTTTATTCAACTTTTTAAATGCATTTTGTTTTTTTATTACACGTAAAACTGAGTTAAAAAAGCATTTTGTTTTCAGATAACCTGTATTGAGACAAAAGATTATTCTTACAATTGATAAGTGATGCATTTATTCTAGTAATGGTTGAAACCAGAAATTTTTGCGGCATTTTCATAGAACCATCAATGTCTTTTTTGCATACTGTTGCAAAGCATGGGTATATATTTTTTTTTTTTTTAGGGAGAGGAGGGAAAATGCATGGGTATAGTGGCTAGTTATTTTATATAATAATTAATAATTCATTGTATATTTTAATTTCATTCCAGGCCTGAAGATTATAAGTTAGCAGACGCTTCAATGGAAGTGGAAGAGAATAAAGAAAATGTTGATCAGAAGGATGAAGATTTAACAAGTAAGAGTTTAGTAATTTATTTTATTCATTGATGACAAATGTCTATATTATTTCAAATAATTACAGACAGCGTTACAATCCACTCCCAGTTAGAGAGTTAGCATAAATCACTACAGTAGAACTCCGATATCCGATATCCAGCTGCCTTTGATCATTGATCAAATAAATCAAATCTGGGTAAAGAACCAACTGATCATAGTCCGTAACAAACCATTCATCTCATTAATTAATTATTCATCTTTCCCTTGAAATATTGACCCTGGTGTGTTACGCTTTATAATTTAGAACCAATTAATAAGATACTGTACGTAACACAATTAAATCATTGCTTCTAAGTTTGTAATGTACTGTCTCTAGTGGTTTTGCTTAAAACTTGTCTTTGAAGTAGTCCTATATTAGTGTTGTTTTGTGACCTTTTATTATGTGTATGTATTAGCCCCTGGGCTCTCTTGTACTGAAGTGTGTGTGTGTGTGTGTGTGTACAGTGGACATCACAGAGGAGCCTACTAAGTGTGTCAAGTACACCAGGCAGGTGACTGTGGCAGCGCAAGTGCAGTTTATTGACTTTGAAGGCCGCTCGGACGGAGAGAGTATACAGAAGATCCTAGCAGGGCTGAAGCCTCGACGGCTGGTGTTGGTGAGAGGCAGCCCGGAGAGTACTCTAGCACTAGAGGCTCACACCAAGCAGAGGTGTGGAGACGCACGAATATTCGCTCCTTCACGAGGCGAGGTGGTGGATGCCACCACTGAGACCTACATCTATCAGGTCAGCTCAATGTAGTAGCTATACATTGGATATCAAGTAAATAGGGCGTTAACACATTGCATATCTAAGATGCTGCATTTGCACTCAAAATTTGTGCAACATTGCACTCTGTATTTGTCTTCCAACATTTTTTTATATCCCTACATGCTGTTAAAATTTATAAGACAGTAAGTGTAATATGTGATGGCGATCACAGTTAAAATGGTCTCATCTGGTCAAGTTGTAGAATTTAAGATAACTTTGTAATTTACACTATATATAAAAATGGTAGATGGATCAATTTAATTATGCTTTTCACTTTTGTAAAATAATAAAATGAAAACTAATATGAATGGTTTTGCCACCAGCAAACTGTATCCAATTAAAATAGCAATCACTGTGTATATGACATATTTAACTGAACTGAACTTGCCAAACAGTTCAGTTTGGCAATCCACTCATACCAAACCGTTAAATGTTATGTGTAAAGTACGAGGGTCTAATTTTGCCCATTTTTACAATTCAAATAACATGTTTTATTGTTTATTTATTTTGATGATTGATTGAATGTTAATATATCTTAGGGGTGTGCATATATTCAAATTTCGACTTTTTTTAAATCGAATATCGGGATACCTATGCGATTAGATTTGAAATCTATAAATAGGTTCGAAGTTCGAATCGAATATTTATATGACCGACCTACCATTTAAAAGTAGGTTATAATCAAGTATTATTCCAAATTAAATAATTAGCCTACTAGGTGAAACCCGTCGAAACCGACGGTTACTCTTGAGGTTTTACGTAAATGAAGGGAGCATAAACATAATTATGCGTATGACAATTGTGTACCTTAAAAAACGTTGTTGATGAATTTTTTTAATACAATATTTTCTGTCTTTTCAATTAGGGCTTTTGGTTGCCCAAAAGGGTTTTTAGGAGTCTTACAATTGTTTCTTGTTCATGAGTTTTGATCATGTTAAAGCCTGTTTCACTATATGGGGAAAGGAGTTCTTATAATTAGTATGTAATCTTACGGAAAGAGTCAATATTACTAATAACTGGTTCCATCTGCTTAAGGAACATCAGTCAGATCGTATTTGGATTGCATAAGTGAATCACCATCTTTGGTCATAAAAATACAGAATTTTATCAGCGGAAGGCCTTAAATTAGTTTTTTTTTTGTATTTGATAAAAAAATATCTGATTCTCCAGACAGAAAGCAGCAACATTCTTACGTCGATGAGGATCTAACCAATTTTGATTTCTTCTCTAGCCACATCGACCAATGTATTTAATCATCCTGTACTTATTTGCTAATTGATTAACTTCTGGTGGTTATGTGGAATCGTGCCATGAGGTTGCTGTCAAACTTGAACTTTATTGATATGCGAGGGTTAAATGCCTTGGCCTCATCGATCACATAAAGTTGTGCATGTATTTTGTGTATGAGATTTACCAATTATGTACTGAACTTGGCCACAAATCTTGAACATTTGCGGAGCCACATCTATAACCTAGTCCGGTCTTGTTGGCAACAAATTATGCAAATGAGATGAGATGTGATGGCAATGTTGTATTTGCAAATGTTTGTAGTGAGGTTCAGAAGTGTTATTCAACCTACCTAGATGTGCACATCAAAGTATAAACCCTGTAGGCCTACAACTTTTTTAAATACACAAATTCACCTACTTCACCAAAACCATAGATGAAACATACTCCGTGGTTAGTCTATGCCAAAACTTAAATACTGCTCACAATCTCAACGTACTCCTTTACACTTGCATGGCTTTTATTGTATGACACAATTTTCACACAATTATCGAAAACTTTTATGTTAATAATCTCACGAACCTCTGACGTTCTTTCTTGAATGTAATAATAAATTATTATTGAAAGTAGACAAAAAAGGCAAGTGGCAACCCCTACAATAAACATAAGCTAACCCGATAATGAAATAATTACCTGTTCCTTTGAAGTTGATATGTCCCACTGATATCATAATGTAATATTTTCTAAATGCATTAAAGCATAGATTTTTGAACAAAAAAATCAAAAACCTATCATAAATTCATCATTTTGTTCAAACTATAAAAAAACTTGTTTTGCAGTAAAAAATCAATTTTATAATCATAAATAATAATGTAAACATTTCATTTTAGTAGATTCAGTAAATGGCTCATAACACTTAACCTTTGAAATACAATTTTAATATTAACTGCTGGATCATTAAAAGTAGTGTAAAGTTACCATATGGTCATAATGTAAACAAATCTGCTGAGGGAACTTTAAAGGCCTCTCGGGCAGAGCCCCGAGGATATGTACCTAGTTTCTCTTTTGATGGCTCATCTACAGACCAAGTCCTTTCTTTAGACACCCCTACCAAGTTTCTACGCCCAGCCGTTCTCTAAAATTAGCTGTGACAAAAAACCCGTCTTTCTTCCATAATAATAACATGGGGTGGGAATTTAAAGACCACTGGGGCAGAGCCCCAAAGTAATTTACCACTTTTCTCTTTTGATGGCTCATATAGAGACCAAGACCTTTCTTTAAACACCTCTACTAAATTTCTACTCCCAGCCGTTCTCTCAAATTAGCTGTGAAAGTCCAACTTTGTGTTTACTGTCAAGAATAGGTAAGATCGGCAGAATAAAATAAAAAAAACTGACACGACACGGGCGCGGCAGCTCAGATGAGTCGAATACGAATTCCAAATCTTAAATCCACCGAATCCTAACAAAAGATTTGAATTTGAGAGATTCGATTAACGATATTTGAGAATCGATTAACGATATTTGAGAATCGAATCTCGGGTCCGCTACACAGAATACACCGACTCACTGCCAGCGCCAGCTCTATAGTAACGTGTAGCAGCAGTAGAGCAGTGTCGATCTACGCATAGCTGGAACAAAGCCAAACTCGGTCTCAAAACTCAAGGCCATGGCTGGAATTACGTCCTAGTCGAATATCAATTGTATTTTGATAGGGACAGGCTGATAACAGAATTTCTCGATTCAATACCAGTTCTGAAATATTACTCATGATTCTCGATACCGATTCCATATAAAAACTCACATTTTTATGGAAGCTGGTCAATGTTTTGTTGTTCGTTTGAATTCTGAATCAGACAACCGGCTTAGTTCATGGGGGCCCAAAACTCAGTTAAATATTGTATCCAAGTCTGATTAGTAAACAGAATCAGGGAACCGCTCTTGCTTTTTTAGAAATGAAATAGTAGTAGACAGAAAACATCCAAATGGAGGTATCACTGGCACGGCAACTCTGTTAGAAAATCGAGACCCTATAAAATGTTGTTATGTTGGTACCACTAGAAGAATCAACCAGCTCATTGGCTGTTGGCAATTGCAATCCCCTAGTTCCAATACTCCCTAGTTAGTACATATGGCGGCCAACGTCTCTCAATTATTCTCGCATTCAGTGCTACCTTTGGTTGTAGCTCTAGTTCAGTGCGAGTAACTATTGCCACCATTGCTGGTATCGACTTAGTCTTGACCGCAATAAGTATTTGTCTGCAATCGTGTGTACTGTGTAGACACTAGACAGACGGCACGACAATTTAGACAGTACGATTCCCAATCGACGCTCGACTGTGGATTGAATTGATGTTTATTATCTAATGTTATATAAATTTGAAATAAAAACTTCACCAATATTTTTAGAATTTTTAATTTCATGGCAAAAGGCCTCCAATTTATAGAAAGAACGTCTATGTCTGACACTTCCGGGCAATAAGCTCAGTTTTATTCTGCAAAATTTAATCTAGCCTTTCGCCATGAAAGATTCTAAAAATATTGGTGAAGGTTTTATTTCAAATTTATATTAATTCCAATATTACCAGTTCTTCTTGAAGATCTAATATATTATTTAACATTTTATTAACAGAGTACACTATCGATCTATGAATTTAAAATTAAGAAGTGTAAGTTACCTACAACAACCATGAACTAGACATGTAAAACGAGCTTCATAATTTACAATGGGATGAGAAGGCTACTTGTGTTGTTTAGTCTATGGTTCAACCAGCTTACTTAGAAAATAAAACAACCGAGTAAAACCTTATTTCGTTTGCTTTAAATAACATTTTACTTAAAAAAGAGGCATAGCATATGTTTTTCTCATGGTAAAAAGTAGGCCTGTTGATACCAGCATCGGTACTTTCGTCTTCAGCTTACTCCAACTTTACAGTAGCTAGATTTCAACATCAAAATAACATACCATTTCTTAACGCACATTTTTGGACTTGGACGACTTTGTTTTGGCGATGGAATGGCGCAATAGGTGCCTATTACCTAACATATAAAATGATGGTTGAGGAAGTAAGGTTAAAATAAATAAACTTAAAAATAATGTACAAAAAATGTATTAGATGGTTAGATGCAGTCATGGTGACTCGCAGCAAAGCTGTGGCCAAGCGTCTCACTAAGATGATTACATGTTGTAGGTGAGGCTGACAGATGCATTGGTGTCTTCTATGGAGTTCAAGAGGGCCAAAGACGCAGAGCTGGCCTGGTTGGATGCAGTCATGGTGACTCGCAGCAAGGCTGTGGCCAAGCGTCTCACTAAGATGATTACATGTTGTAGGTGAGGCTGACAGATGCATTGGTGTCTTCTATGGAGTTCAAGAGGGCCAAAGACGCAGAGCTGGCCTGGTTGGATGCAGTCATGGTGACTCGCAGCAAGGCTGTGGCCAAGCGTCTCACTAAGATGATTACATGTTGTAGGTGAGGCTGACAGATGCATTGGTGTCTTCTATGGAGTTCAAGAGGGCCAAAGACGCAGAGCTGGCCTGGTTGGATGCAGTCATGGTGACTCGCAGCAAGGCTGTGGCCAAGCGTCTCACTAAGATGATTACATGTTGTAGGTGAGGCTGACAGATGCATTGGTGTCTTCTATGGAGTTCAAGAGGGCCAAAGACGCAGAGCTGGCCTGGTTGGATGCAGTCATGGTGACTCGCAGCAAGGCTGTGGCCAAGCGTCTCACTAAGATGATTACATGTTGTAGGTGAGGCTGACAGATGCATTGGTGTCTTCTATGGAGTTCAAGAGGGCCAAAGACGCAGAGCTGGCCTGGTTGGATGCAGTCATGGTGACTCGCAGCAAGGCTGTGGCCAAGCGTCTCACTAAGATGATTACATGTTGTAGGTGAGGCTGACAGATGCATTGGTGTCTTCTATGGAGTTCAAGAGGGCCAAAGACGCAGAGCTGGCCTGGTTGGATGCAGTCATGGTGACTCCCAGCAAGGCTGTGGCCAAGCGTCTCACTAAGATGATTACATGTTGTAGGTGAGGCTGACAGATGCGTTGGTGTCTTCTATGGAGTTCAAGAGGGCCAAAGACGCAGAGCTGGCCTGGTTGGATGCAGTCATGGTGACTCGCAGCAAGGCTGTGGCCAAACCTCTCTCTGAGAACACTACATCTGAGCGAGAGGCTCTACAAGACAATGATGGTAAACACTCTACTAAAGTATACATCCAATCCATATGGATCAACTATAGCTAATATTATTATTAAAATAGAACATAACTAGAGCTCACCCTGTGGTCGAAAACTTAACCAAAAGTATGTACTGTATTGTGCAAACTTCTCTATTGCACGCTGTAAATAAAACATGTGATTGGAATTTCTTCCATTTGTTTTGATTTTATGTTTAGATTTTGTTGTTATTTCATCACCAACATGGCAACCAATTTTCTCTTGTACTTTTTAATACTTTGATACAGATATTTTATGCTATTGTACAACCCCTGGACTTACTTGGTCATTGGGACATCTCGTTGTCTCTCGTGATCGTAGCAAAATCTTAGATTTCTATGGCGGTCATGTAGACATCATTATCGTCTCTTCATCATCGGCAAACCCAATTGTGGCAAAAGTGTGAAATTTTGTATAGCTCAATCATCGCAAACGTGTGCTACATATTCTTGATTTCATAACTTGGTGTTAGATCTCTTAAGCTTTTAGGCTAGGCTTGGCTCGGCTTGATAATCTAGCAGCTCGTAAACCTCTAAACAACTCATTCTTTTGTTGGTTCAATTCAACTATGTTCATTATTTCTATTATGAAACTGGCTACAACTTTAACATGGGAATATAATGTCTACTATCAATATTTAGTCAAATATATATTTGTGTTGCTAAGAAAACCCAAAATAAATCCAAAAACCTTTTGAGATTCTGCTAAAAACGTAAATTTCAGGTTTAATATTTATAAATTTATTCAATTCAAGCATGTACAATTTACTCTCATTAATCTGACATATGATAGTCTGACACACTCAGAAATACGAGTAATGGTTTCCAGTTAAGCTACACAGTCCTTACTATGAGAATGTATAATCATTGGGTAAAAAGTACTTTACTGTGCTTTGTTTAGTTTCTACTCAATTTAACTTAATTACCTGAATGTTTAGCCTTTGTATAAATTTGTTGTATTTAATCTTTGCAATAGTTATAATTGCATTGTATCATTCAGCTCTGTAATCAAAACTTACTAGTAGTTGTTTTTGCAGTACAGTAGTTATGTTACAACGACAGTATTTCTGCAATATGCTACCTTTCAGGAGGGTAGCAGGGCACAGTACTTTGGTCCCTGAGGTCCTTTGTTCAAAATCTAACAAGACTACAAGATCGCGCCACTCATCCTACACTCATCTCCATTCATACTTGGCTTAAAATACCTACTTTGTATGGTCGCCATTTAATAAGAAAGTATAAAGAAAGTATCCCACCAAATCACCAATGGATATTATCTAAGTGATAATGCCGCAACCCCTAGGTCTAGCCTGATGTAATGTGAAAAACAATCGTGGGCTCGTGCCTTGCATCCTAGGACAAAAGAAATATGCTATCTTTAACCAATTATATTCATCCCTTTATTTTTCATCCATTAGCCAAGCACAAGTGAAACCACTTGTACTGTAATTATTATAATTATTGTTGCAAGTAAAATCACATTTATTGCCTTTGTAGACTATTAATATATAGTTTTCTTTTTCGTTTTTAGACACTAAAGAAGACACCAAAGATGAAATATACACTTTGGAACCCTTAGCACCAAATGAGGTAAATATTTATTTTAACATATTTGGAACATTAAAATATGTATCCACTATAACCATAGGTGGACGTACGCCACTCGTGGCCACGACTTGTACTTCGTAAAATAGTGTATAACAAAGTTTGAATGACGTCTGCTTGAAAAGCAAATATTAAAGATTTATAACCTATCAGACGACTAGCTTAGCTAGTTGATGATTGGGCCGCTGGAGCCTGAAAAACACAGTGGCGATGCATGTTACCCAAGTGTTTTGTTATGTTTAGTGTTTTGTAAACCTAATTTTGTATTTAATTTGAATGAATTTTAGTTAGTTCTTTAAAATATTTATAACTAGTTTATGCTGAAATGAATATGAGCGTTTTATTGCATAACTTTGTGTTATAAACAATAGTATTGAAACCCAAATTTAATTCACGTACCACCTGTGGTAATGGTTCATGTGCCTTCAAAATAGACAAATACATAGTAAAACCACTCACAGAAACCCTGAAACATGTAGTGTACAATCACGATACACAGTGCCAACCTGTGGTACACGTAGTAAAAAAAAAAATTAAAAACAGGGAAAATTTTGTTGGAGCATACATGTTAATATGTTTATTTCATAATCAGTGTCAAATAATATTTCACTATAACCTACTGAATAACTTTAGAATCCCGTCAATCATTTTCACCTGTATCGAGAAATGCTTATTCTGAAAAGATGTACATATCGGCAGGATTATAAATGACTTTGGTTGTGGTTTCAGATCTCTGGGCACCAGCCATCGTTTATCAATGAGCTGAAGCTGTCAGATTTCAAACAAGTGTTGACCAAGTACAACATCCCATCAGAGTTCTCAGGAGGAGTTCTGTGGTGTTGTGACAACACTGTGGCCATCAGACGGGTAAGTAACACTAGGGACCATTATAATCAGATAAGTTAGGGTTGAAGGATTCAGAATGCGCTACAAGAGAGGTGTAAGCAGTGGAAGAAGGGGGAAAAGAGGAGTGTAGAAATCTTGGCCTCTGGGTTTATCGAACTGGTACCTAGAACTGCCTAACGGCAGTGTGTTATTGTTAAATGGCGGTTTAAACATTTTTTTTCAAACGAGTATTACGCAATAAAAATGATCCAGAAGGGTTATAATTATGATACCGTTGAAAAGAAGAGATTCTAACTTTAATTTTCATATCGAAACGAACTTCGTAGCAATAACAGATCAATATAACTGCTATTTTAACCCTCCGAGTGTTATTTGTCGATGCGTCGACACATAACACACTTTGTGTAGTGTTTTGTGTCGATTTTTCGACTCACAAACACTGTTTACGGGGAAGGCTCTATGACTGACAAAATCGGATTGAACTGGATCGAGTTAGGTATCGTTTTATCTGGCAGTTTCTAAGCTTTCTCCTGAGGTCTGTCTCTAAGCGCTTTTTTTCTCGAGCCGATCATAATTGTAGCAGACAGCTGACGTGCGTATTTGTAAACAGCTTGGTTAACCTCGCACCGATGACTGACGTGTTTTATTACGTTTATCATTGTTTTAGTGTTAAAAATCAAAAGTAGTGATATACGTGGTAAATTATAAGAAGATTTAAGTGATTTTGAAGGGCTGGTTGATGATCCTGAAGAAGTAGGTAGTGATATTGATGTAAATTATCAGCCAGATTCCTAGCTATGGTTAGGCTATGCATTCTTAGCTAAACGCTATGTACCGAAATCTGTTTTTTGCCTATAACTTATTTATTTGCAAATCTACTTCCTTATATTATTATATATTTGTAACCCTCATAAAATTTAGAACAAAGTGGCTATTTTCAAATATTTATAGGCCTATAATTTATACAATTTCATTAAGCGCAAACTTATTTTTTTTTTGAAAATTTTCTTAATATTTTTTTTACCTAAAAAATTTTTTTGAAACAAATGTTCCTTATGGTTTTTGTATAATATTGAAACCCATGATTTTCCAAACAAAATGGTATATAGAACATTATAATTAACATTGTTTTCAAGCTTCTCAGATCCGTTTTAATAAAACCTTGCAAATGAGCAAAAAATAGGCAGACATTAAGGCCAAAACAAGGGACACTCGGAGGGATAAATTCAACTTAATTTAGCGTGCAAAACATTATCGTACTGCGATCGGCAAAATCTCGTAAAACATGTGTTCTTGAAAAAAATCGTGAAGTCTTTATTTTTGCCCAAACAGAAAGCGGTTTGTAACATTGGAAAGATCATGATTTTTTCTTTATTTTCGTAAAGAGAACTTTGTCATAAGATGTTTGGAAGTCTGAGAAATAAATTTTTGAAATCAGCTGTTTTGTCAACTAGCCATTTTGCCCAAAGCGCCGTTTCAACGGCAGTTTCCAAATCACTAATAAAAATATTGATAATTGACATAGCGTGATGTCAGTCAAACTTATTTGAAGCTGAGAAAACGTTCTATCTCAATGTTTTGGTACCTTTCACAGGGTGTCCACATTCTGGAAAGTCAGGTATAGTCATGGAAAGTCTTGGAAAAAAATTCTGGTCATTGACAGTAATGGAAATAGGCAAAAAGTCTTGGAAATCCCCAATGGTTGGTGGTGAGTTGATGGCTCATTTTGGTAGCGTCGCGGACTTTGGGCCCAAGGCAGTGGTTGTCGGTTAGGATCCTGGTCACTGCCTAAAACATATTATCAGTACAGTTCACCTTCGTACTGTATCGGCTCACCCCTTGCTTTGCGTTAGTTCTATGTGGACAGGAAAATACAAGATTTAAAGAGGCTGACAACCTCTAAAAAAAAAAAATTATGGATGGATTTGTGGGGACCATTCAGTGCTCTATTGTAGCATTTTTTCGGGATTTTTCACAATTGTGAATTGGTATTTATCCCAATAATTCCATTAATTCCTAGCAACTACCCGTTTGAGTTCAAGCGGCTACAGTTCTCCGTCACAGTTTGCTTCGCCATGAGGATTAATGAATCACAAAACCAGACGTTGTCCACAGCCGGGATGGACCTGAGCGGATCAGCATGTTTCTCTCACGGACAGTTGTAAGTTGCGTGTTCCAGAGTGAGATCCAGAGACATTTAAAAGCCTCTTCATTCATGCTCCGGGCGGCCAGACTGCAAACGTAGTGTATGAGGAGGCACTCAAATAAACCACACACATTTTCTTTATCAACAAAAGAAACCTTGGGTGAAAGAAGGTGAAGATCTTCTAAATACCATAATTTAAACCACTTCTTATTTAAATGTTTTATTATATTTTTTGTAATAAATGCCATATTATTATCATTGTGTTTAATAGTTTAACTGTCATTATTTGCACATAGTATTTCTTTTTAATACACTGTACTTACTATTGTGTTAGTTATAACTCTTACTTTTTATTATTACTGTAAATTAAAAGATAGAATTTATACTTGACGTAATAAGATTCCTCATTGTATTGTTCGTGCTGAATATTTTATTCAACCCGAACGTAGAACTGGTGGGTGCATAGCTAGTTTCCTGTAAATACTGTAAATATATTTATCATACTATAGTAAAAAAATGAAACAAAAATTAAATCTAACTTTGAATAACTAATTTTTGTTTTCGGCAAAAATAAAAAATTGTTTTTTTAAGTCATATAAAGTCATAAAAAGTTATTACTTTGTACAATATGACATTATTCTGAATAAAGGTATTGTTACCTTTATAAATATAAAATTTCTGTATATAAATTGTATACTTCTGATTTTACTTTTATTTTTCACATGTACAGTGCAATTTTGTTGATTTTCTCCAATTTCCGTATATTTACCCGTAACTAGTAAAAAAAATTGTTGATGCAAATCAATCACACTTATTATTATTGATTATTTGGGAAATAAATTGCCTACATTTTGTATATCTTAGATTGTCTGTAAAAAATTGTTGTTAAAAGCCTAGGCCTCTACTTTTGAAAATTATTCCAAAAATTTTAATAAAATTTCACATTTTGCAAAAGATTCACAGACAGGATTTTCTCTTATTTTATGTTATTCTAAATTTCCTTCTTTTTCTGAACAAAACAAGTATCAATATGACTAGGTTATCAACAGTGGTTTAGGCCCTGAGAATTGTTAAAAACAACTCGGTAAAATGGCCAAAATTGCCAGGGCACCAAGCAATTTGGCTTAAATCAGGTCAAGGCAGTCCTAGGGTTGAAATTGTCAAGGCAAGTGGAAATGACTACTTGGCAGAGTTTTTTCTCACTGACAGTACCAGACCAGGGTGTCTACCAATCGGGAATTCCGAGAAATTCGGGAAACAGTCGGGAATTTTGAAAGGTCGGGAAAAAGTAGTGAAAAAGTAATGAATTTCGGCCGAAGATCGTTTTTCGAATGTTTTCTTCAAAAGATTCGGATAATTGGCAATTCAGATGGTTGGAATTCAGATAGGTAGTTAGAGTTCTTCTGTAATCAATGATGGATGTGTAACTATTTCATACGGCAGATCTGAAGGAAATTTTTGTCTTCTGCGACTTCTTTCGATTGCGAAGGACGAGTATATCGGCAGTGTATTGTACACTGTGTCACAACACAAATAAGGACTGGGACGGGTCATGCGTACACAAGATTTTGTCTCCTATCCTAGATAATCAAAGTCCAGTGAGATAACCATTGGAAATGTAATCACTAAATTGAAATTGGTACTAAGAAACTAAAGTGGAGTTTCTGATATGGATACTATCAGGCAGGAATAGACAGTGGGGGTCCCAGGGGGGGATTGGAGGGATCGAAATATTTTATATTTTATTAGCTAACATAATACTATTAGCTTGATCATATTTTATAGCTGAAATACGTATAAAAATAAGTTTTTAGGTTTTGAATTCCACATTTTATTCAGGGGAGGGCCGAAGCCCCCCCTTTTTTCTGGGGGATAAACCATACACCCCCGGTGGTCATTCCCCCTGAAATGAAATCATGGGACCCCGCCACTGGGAAAAGATCATCTGCAGGATTGTTTAGTTTGTTTATAGGTGAGTCGGTGGCTCAGTTGGTAACATCATGGACTTTGGGACAAAGGTAGCAATGTCGTGGGTTCGGATCCTGGTCCCCGCCACCAACATTTTATCAGTTCACCTTTGTACTGTACTGGCTCACCCCTTGCTTTGCTGGATACATTCCACACACAGATCTGTAGTCTATGTGGACGGGCAAATGCAAGGTTAAAAGAGGCTGCCAACCTCTTAACAAAAAAAAAAAACTAATAAATAAAAAATTGGTAAGGCTCTCATTGTCAAAGGACCTTGCACTTTACCTAGCAGCTAAACCATCTATAACCAAACAACCTAATTTAAGTCCAGTTTTTCAAATGTTCTTCCATGCTTACCTGTACTGCGATTGTTTCAGCATGAAGCCGGGAAAGTCACCCTAGAAGGTTGTTTATCTGAAGATTATTATAGAGTCAGAGAACTTCTATATGAACAATATGCTATTGTTTAAAAATTGTAAATTTCTATTGTAATATTGATGTAATCCATTTATCATTATATAATATTTTGTATGCTAATGCTAAGATCATAAATAAAATAATTTTATTTATAAAATTAATGGTTGTGTTACATACCCCCTCACTTTTATTTGTTGAATGTAGATTCTATTTTATGGTTATACTAATTTATTAAATGGTTAATCTATATATTAATAGGCAAGCATCTTTCTTTAAAACCTTTTTTCTCAGCTCGTGTACATCACAGGGAAAATCTACGCATACCGTTAGAAAGATATTTTCCTGTAGATGTGCAGAATCCCTTTAAAAAGTAAAATAGGTTCAAGTAAAAGCACAAAAAATTCAATTTGAAATTTAAAAAAAATTAACATGGGCTTTATGGGTTGCCCATTGATGTATAATAACTCCCTGGATTGCGCGCTCAGGTTGAAGTGAAGGCTCGAAAAATGGGCCGTCGATACCTCGCTCTGTCCGCCAGGAGTGGGGATAAAGGCATGACTCACCCTAGTGCCGAGCGTCGCGCCCGCTCTCGCCGTGTATTGCTATGTTAGTTTTGTGGAAATATTCCTGGGATAATTGATTGTAACAAACTTAAGGAGGTTTTATAAGCAGATATAATTAATCTACGACGTACTTGCTCACACTTTACAGACTACGTATGTGTCAAAAGTAAATCTCATAAGAAATTTAGTGATGTTATGAAAAAGTTAGATTTATTTATATTTGAACATTGGTCAGAACAAAATATATCACAATAATTATTTGATAACATAAGCATAAGCATGTAATCATTTGCTGCTGTGAGGCCCAATTATTAATGAGAGACTTTGCAACATTTAAGTACAGTATAAGAATATATATTTTGTTTATATTATAGCATGTTTCTTTGTCATACTGTGATTAACATGTTTTTAAAACATATTATATGTTGTTAAATAAAATGAGTGTATAATATTTTATGCCTATATCTCAAATTTATTGGTTATTCTCACTGAAGTAAAATAATAACAAAATATTTTCTCACGTATTAAATACTACTTTGGAATCCAACATTTATTCTTTGATTCAAAGAATTTTGTTAACTATAGACTACCGGTAAGCATTAAAATGCATAAACATACGCTTGTAAATAAGTTTAGTATTTTTCCTACCATTCTTTGTAATGTAATGACATATTTGATGTAATATAATGATAATTAAATGCCAGAAACTCAGTATCTATATCCCGCAAACTGATGCTGAGCCGGCCGAGCTCCTAGCGCCAATGCCGCGCCAAGCAATTTTATGCCTATTTTTAATCGCTTAAAAATTATACAAGCGGACTCCGTATCAAAAAAAGCTTCAAATAAAAAATAAAATTCATACTATGATCTAAAACTTTGCCGCAGGAATTTTTTTCCTGACCAAAAAATAAAAAAGTTCCTTACTACATTTTTCATGTTTTTAATTGTGTTAAAAAACAATCATCAGTTTTAACTTGCCTAAATAAATTATAAAAAATACGTTAAGGTAAAAACTAACTACATAGTAATAATCACTGGTTTTTTCAGAAAAATAAAATATCAATTTGAAATTTTTGTGTTAATAAGTAAATGTAGCAGAGCAGGTTGAGTGAATGTATGTTTGTGTAAAACAGAGAGGTTCATTCGGCCCGTCCGCCTCAGTATCCCACCAATTCGACTGGTGGGCACGGACCGTTTTTCCACCACACAGCGCGCTATCCAGTAGAGTTATTATACATCGATGGGGTTGCCATGCTGGTGACAAAATAACAATGAAATATAAACAGAAAATACAGTGCAATTAAATGTTGATAAAAAGCCTGCCACTGGTTGATCAATAAATTATTTAATTACTAGGTGAAACCCGTCAAAATCGACGGTTGCTTTAAAGGCTTACGATAATTTTTTTAACTGTGACTGAGTGAAATCATAAAAAACGTGAGCATTTAGCATTGTTTAATGAGTAATAAATAAGTGTAGAAACAATAATGACTATTGCGTTAGTTACAAAATATGGTTTATCATTCAATGAATAACATATTTCTTATACCGTCTGTTAAAGGACGTGTTATTGTGTTTGGATGTGTTGGATGTGTAGCCAGATTAATAAATGTCTCAATCCAAGCGCATTAAAATAGCCCTTAATATAGCCCCTAGTTTTATCACGACCTTCAAAATTAGGGGTCACTCGATGTTGCTTAATATTTACAATTTTTTAGTTTCCCCCAAAATCCCCGTTTTGGGTTTGGGAACCAAATAGCAATTAGGATCAAAAAGTACTTCATAACATGCCATAAAGGTGTGTAGAGTTTAGTTTTCCTAGTGTGGGCCAGACTGGAAAGCTGTAAGTTAAGTTTAACTTCTGAGGATTTCAACTGGCTGCCAATTTTTACTAGATTGAGATAGACACCTCTAGTTAGCGTTGTTGGTTTTCTTTTACCAGGACCTTCAAAATGAGGCGTCACTCAATGGGTCTTACCGTTTGAATCATTTTGAGTTTCCCCCAAAATCCCCCATTTTGGGGATGTACACCAAGTAGTGGTTATGCCCAAAAAGTACTTCGTAACATACCATCAAGGTGTGCAAGTTCAGTTTTTCTAGTATGGGCCGTTAAAATATTAACAGGGGGTCTCCAGACATTTTACTAACCACGTATAAAAATCATACTAAACTGGTTTGTTTGTATATCAAAGGAAGTATTTTCTTGTATTTTATGTTTATTTCAGAATGAATGCATTATGAAAATAATACACACAAATGTTCAATATGGATTTGAAAATAATTTATTTTGATATTATGATATGGAAAAGAAGCTAGTTTAATGATATTAAAACATTGCTTTTCCAAGTTAAAAACATTTAAATGCATTATAATTTTTTTAAGAAACTCGTTAATACTACTACAGTATAAGGTTATCATGTATTATCTTATAAAAACGTTATGATGGTATCTGCCCCGATGATGGGTTACAGTAATAAAATACACCCAACGCATAACAATGAAAAACATGCAGATTAACACCTTTAGTTATAGATAATCACGTACATTGTGGTCATCATCTTTAAATCTTGAGTATGTGGTGTCAAAATCATCAAAGAGCCGTGCCGACTTAAAATACGTGAGTTTGACTATTACAAAAGTTTACTTTATTGAAATTATTTCATACTTTTTAGAGCGTTTCCAGATAGTGTATATTACCAAGGGATTAGGCTACTTCCTATTACTAGAGGGGAATTAATAATGAAATAATTTATTAATTTATTGATCAACCAGTGGCAGGCTTTTTATCAACATTTGATTGCACTGTATTCTTACCCTTACCTCTAGTAATCAGAAAATAGCCTCTTTCAATGATATGTATTAAATTTCACGATCTGCGATCGTGCATGCGCCATTAGCTGTTACTGTGTGTGAAAGTTGGCCAAACATTAATTTAAATCACTGTCTAGAAATAAATCAAATGCTTAAGGGCCAAACTTGTGAAGCCCTTTATCAAAATATCGTTTTAATTACCACTTTGCGTTGTGCTAGATCTTAAGATTTAAAATTACACCTCGATCATAAAAATCGGTGAAGTAGTTCGGGTTAAAAAGGGCTGTTACAGCCTATTTCATTAGAAGATAGATAATGTTAAACAAGACAATGACATATCATATGCGTAATACTAGATATTAGAGGGCAATTATTAACCGAAGATCTGTTGATTTACATAAAACAGTCAATAAAATCAATTACAACAATGAATATTGGCCGATACGTGACAGAGCTGACAACGGGGGGTAGATGTCCGGGGGTAGATTTCCGGGGGTAGATGTCCGGGGGTAGATGTCCGGGGGTAGATGTCCGGGGGTAGATTTCCAGTCGCGGGCTGTTTCTCAACCGTGTATAGGCCCCGCCCCTCGTGACGTCAAAATGACGTAGGCGTTTTTTCATGGGGGTAAATATCCGGGGGTAGAAATCCGGCGACCCGTTTTATTTACAGCGAGGGCCGAGGGGTGAAAATATAGAGAAGCCTGTACCTTTGAATTACAACTACTGTAGACATTCCATCCCAATGTTTTAATTAAATTTGTCGTAGTTGATGTGAGCCACCAATAGATTGCACTGGTTTCTGTGAATACACAAGGTTTTTTACCAAGTCAAACTTATGGAATGACTTATTATAAGCTATAGCAAAGCAACTGTTATGACCCATCAACTTTGTCAACAACAAAATATTAGGTAGAAAATATAATTTTAGATACCGGGTACGCATTCTGTGACTGGCTCACACAACTACACGTTTTTTAATTAAAAAATAGCAACAGCTGATCCATATAGATGGGATGTCTACTTCAGTATCTAATAATCAATACATTACATATTTTTGGTCGAGTTTTCGACCACTGGACGACCTCTAGTCTATATTTAATAGGCAAGCTTGTTTCTTTAAAACCTTTTTTCTCAGCTCGTGTGCATCACAGGGAAAGTCTACGCATACTATAAGAAAGATATTTTCCTGTAGATGTGGTAGATGTGCAGAATAGGCTTAATAAGCACAAAAAAATGAGTTTTAAAATTGAAAAACTAACATGGACCTTATGGGTTGCCCCCATATGGGGTGACAAAATAACAACAAATTATAAACAGAAAATCAAAACAAATTAAAGAAATTCCTATCACATGTTTTATTCACAGTGTGGGGTGAAAATTCGACCACGGCCTCTATTTTTTTTTATTTTTTTTTAAGTACCTAAATGGCTTAATTTGTTAACAATTCTGTCAGTCTTATGATACAGTCATTTTAGCGAATTCCTCAATCCTCATATAGGGAATAAGCTATTACCGTAGGTCTCAATGGTAAGACTTGGACCCGGGACCGATTTACTTTTTCATTTTGATGTCCCTAGAAGCCAAAAACACCATCCGTTCAAATTCATATATGTGTGTGTGTCCGTTAGTACGATATAACTCAAGCAAAACTGATCTGATTTGGATGAAAATTGGTACAAACGTGTTAACCTACGTTCATTCAACGAGTTCGTGAACCAGTATCATCGGACCATGGAAACGGGGTTTTATAGGGGGATTTATGAGGTAAAAA